GCTCAATTTCTTTGAAATAATCGAATCGAATGCCATTTGCAGCTATTTTTGGTTATTTGTTTATTTTTTTGCCTGTTTGCTGCCGCTGTCCCTCTGGCCCTGACCTGCTGCCAACTCCAGCTACGCGCTCGGCATTCATTCAAGCGAAATTAATTAAACAATAAAATTTGATTAATGGCATTTTAAGGGAAAGAAAGAGAAACTGCGGGTGGACGGGACCTGTGAACATGGTCAATTGTCTGGTCGTCGATTTTGTTAACCTGTTCTCTATTTACATTCGCGACTTTGTTTTGTTTATCCCAAATACAAACACACACGCAGAATTAATTGACCGACGGCTCGTATAAGCCATGTAATGTGTAAGGTTCCCAATGTCTGGTCGAGAATGAGATTTGTTCTTGTAATTGGATACGCTGTGGAATAGCAATTTTTTGACAAGCTGCAATTGGGTCACAACTGATTGGATTCGAGCACAATTAGATGTTCGTGAGATCTTTCAAATTTGTAGTATATCAGATGCAGCATGTAATACATCTAAAAATAGATTCACATTTCCGGCATCATTTTTGTATATTTTAAGACATTAAATCTACAGATATTCAGTTTGAATTATCTTCTAATATCACTGCTCGTCCATCACATGATATTGTATGAAAATGTTCAGCTTTATCAATTTAAACAGAATCTTCCTGCACAGCAGATCCTAAAATGTCCACGAGCCATAAACAGAAACTAACTTTGGATAAATATAATGAAGACTCAAATAATCATTTTTGCAGCACATAAAGCCTGTAGTCCAAGCAAATTTTCACGCCATCAAACAAATCAAATTGAACGACAGCTAGAGATGGGTGGAGGGTGGAGGAAGGCCAGGCAAGAGGTGAGAAATCAAAAGAGCCGCTTAGCCAGATCGAAAGTCATTGAAACATGTTGGGTCTGGTTTGTGGCTTGGATTTAAATTCGATTTTGGACGCGAGATAAAACGCGCGACAGAGATTTACAGCGGTGGCTGGTGCAAAAAAAAAAAAATAATAAAAAAAATACTGTCGCTATTCAAAGCACGTTCCCGTGTTATGGAGTTAAATTTTTTTTATACATATACCCTGTATACACTGGGTAAGAAGGGTATGTTGAGTTGGGTTTAGTGAGTAACATGCAGAAGGAGGCATTTCCGGCCATATAATGTTGAATAAGGCGATGGTTGATTTAGCTTTCTCTGTCTATGTGACTGCAGCGATCGCATTCCAAGAGGTAGAGCTTGGACTTTTAGGGCAACTATAGGGCATATATATAATTGAATTTCAACTGAAACAAGATCCAACAACAAATGAAAAGAATACGGAATATTTAAAATATGTTACTACAGGATATCTTCTAGTCATGCACGCGACTAGAGCGCAGAAACTTGCGTTGTTTTTGCAATGGCGATAAGGAGGAGAGCTTGCGCTGACGGTGACGGTGAGGACGTGTTGCTGTCAACTCTCTTCTGGTCACTCAGCATGCAACACGAGCAGCATTTTTTATTTAATTTTGTGGCCCAATTAAGTTGAGACGCCGACGACAATTGAAAAATGTGCTTGGGCCCCATAAAAAGCATTTAGGCCATTTAGAGAGGTCTCCGCCTGCCAGTTTACCAGTTGGTAAGCTGCTTCCCAGCTCTCACCCAGCCGCAGAGACGTAAGCGAAACCCTTTGTAACCGCACTGCAAAAAAAAAAAAATAACCGCAAAAGCCATAAAAGCAGAGATTTCCTCAATTTGCTGTCGAGCTCTGCAAGCTACCAAAATTGCTGGAAACCGCAAAGCAATTTTGTAAAAAAAAAATATGAATGAAAAAGCCAGAAAACTCATCAGCACACACACTCGCCCACAGGGGACGAGGAAAATGGTCTGTTACTGCAAAATGAATTAATTTGATAAATTTACGAGCATTTTGAGGCGCTTCTCTTCTCACAGGTTCTGAAATTAATCGTCTGTAAAATTAAGTTGAGCTTGTTGCAAAAAGGAAAAGTAAAAGAAAACCAGCAGCAAAAAAATTATAATCACAGAAAAATCGTTGCGAAATGAGAAGTAAATGCTGAAAATTTGCAATCAATATCCGATTAAAAAAAAAAAATTAAAATAAAACATGAGAAGCACATTATATTCTGTGGCCTAACAAAGGCAACGTCTGCTTGCGGTTTGCTGCTCTCCGTTCCCTCCACCATCTTAACCCATACTGCAAATGACATTATATTTGAAATTATATTGTATCTTTTGCAATCTATAGCCGTGTATCTGGGTGGCAACGCTCGAATGAGTTTGGCTAGTTGGGTTGTTAACTGTGCTTTAATGGCTCTATAAATGGAAACAGCATGGTGGATAGAAGGGGAAATGGGGGACTGTGCAGGTCTGTGTGTTCGTGAATTATTTATAGAACTTTTGTGTGCTTAAATTTGCTTCTTTAACAAACATTTATTGTTTTACTTTTATAGTTATTCAATATATTATATATATTTTTTTTTTTCATCAGTTTCAAGCTGAATAATAACGGACTTAAAAGAAGTCTTATTTCATTTGAAATAGATAGTAAAAATATTTTTATTGATTTTTTGATCGGTTGAAGATATCCCCTTTCAAATAAAGGATTTAAGAATATTGTAATAATTAAATTTTTTAAAGCTTTTTTTTTTTAAACTTTTTTTCAGTTAGTTCAAGTCGATAACTCATCATTCCGATAGCTAAGATATCGTTTTTTAAATAACACACTGGGTTATATATATAAAAGAAATCTTTTAAAAATATTATAACAAATGCACGAATATTATATGCCAACTATTAATTTACACAAGCATGGAAGCACATGGCCAGAAAAAATGTTTAAAGCGCAGTTTTATAAAGCTATCAATTTACAAAATATAGCGAAAATAATGACGTAATTTTTCTGATAAAATGTGGATGTATAGGGACATCTGTTTGCATTTAAAGGGACATATCTATATTGTTGACAAGTGAGACAAACCGAACAAAGTATCTAAGAGCCCAGAAGATTGCCCAGCCCCAATTGCGCTTTCATGTTTGAAATACGGGAATTGGTTACGCATCATCACAGTTTCTAAACTCAACTAAAAGCAGCTGAGAATTTTGAAATTCCGGGCGTTCTACATTGGGTAATGACTCATTCAACCCCAATTGGATTGGGGATCATCCACACATTTGCACAGCCCATAAACCACAATAGATTAATGAAGCTGACAGTTTTCAAGAGCTGCTTCCCCTCACTGGCACGTCTCCTACCAATTTCGTCTGTCAACCCACCCCAAACCAACTCGAGGGCCCTGTGCGACATAAATCGTTTAAGATTTCTGTGGTGCCGCCCACTTGTTGAATGCAAGAGAAATTACGTTATTAAGCCCGGCAACAATTTATTTAGTTTAGTGCACTTGTCATTAAATATAATTTATAAGACGAAGCCATAAGAGGAGGCTCCGATACCACATAATCCATATAATCATATTTATGCTTCGGGGAAACAACGCGTGGGCGACGACAATGGTCTCAGTTTTTCAAACACAACAACTAAACTGTCGGCGAGTGTCGTCTACGCGACTTGGGAGCTGTTGCAGCTCTATAAAGATTACAACATGATGGTTTTTTAAGTGCTATCAACACAAATTGTGTAGAATCTAACGTGAACTGTGAGCATCTGACTTTTGACACGCGATGTGGCAAACAGCATATTTCGAATTTCGAATATTTACGATGCCATTCAGGGGCTATTAAATGACATATACAGTCCATTAGGAGCCGCCTGTTTGCTGTTAATTTGCCTAAATAAACCTCATTAAATATGCTGACCAGCCAAATGGCCAACGGCTGTTGTCCCATAGCCAGATGCAAACATCATCAAACAAAACGAACTGAAAAATATGATTAATAATCATCATCGCTGAAAGCCAATCCCACACAAATTATGTTGTCACATGCAAAAGTTGCTCATACGACGCGTTGGCTACATTTTTTTTACCCACTTTTTTTCTCTGTCCGAGCTTCTCATTCACGCGTCTCTAACAGGATTATGTCGCACGCAACATTAGCGACGAGTCCAAATCCTTTCTACCTGCCTTTTTCTCAAGCGTTGCCTAATTTGTCTCTCCCTTCCACACCAGAGCTCTCTCCCCTACCCTCAATGGAGATTCTCTACCTGTTTTTGTGAGCAGCGTTTTTCACAGCGTGTGTTAATTTTGTTGGAATTTTCGCTTGATTATGTCCACATGGATTTGAAATACGCAGTATTTCTAGCAGTGTGTTGTGTCTCTGCTCTTTTGTTGTGCTTTGGCTACGATCGATTATTGATTTAATTAATTATCAACGCATCGTATGCGACTGTCTGTGCGTGTGTGTGTTTGTGTGTGTGTGTGTTGGCCTTTTCACGGTCTCTGGTACTGAAAATATTAATAAAGTTTCTGCTTCGATATAGCGTGTCGCTTCCAATGGCTTCATTGCACTGCTACGACCCCCAACAGTGCCGGAGGGCAGAGGGCAGAGCGCAGCATCCAAAACAATTAAAGTGCTGCAAACATCTGCTCTAATAAATTTTATATATTTTGGAAAATCTATAATTTAAAGCATTAGTAATTCTCATATGATTTGGGTACAAAAGGGTGCCTAAAAACTTGTAAATGCGACCACCTGAGATTCTTAACAGAAATTTAATGTGTAACTCTGTGTTCTGACTCTAGTATCAAAGGACTACTCAAAGGAGTTAAAACATATGAAGGAATCTAGCTGGCAGTTGAAGGAAACGTTTAAAATTGAACTCACATTGAAGTATGTTTGCCAGTTGGTTAGAATTAGATACTCAACAAAAATTAAATACTTATTCATGTTGTAAATATGTCACATTTTTCACACATAAGCCCTGATCGTTAACACGATGCGAGCCTGCAAATTAAGAGACCATTTTTTACAATTGCCGGCACACGCCCCTTTGTAGAGCCTGAAACCCAACAGCCTTTGGAGCATGTGCCCAAGATACAATTTATTTAAATTAAAATGCAGATCGCGAGCAATCAGAGATACAAGTCGCCGCTTAAAATTGCAATGTTTGCATTTTTGTTTGCTGTGCGTGCCACATCGCCCACTTGCCACTTGCGACTTGCAACTTTGCCACTCTGCCACACTTTGCTGTTGTCCCCGCCGTTCGTGCGTTTCATGCATAAAGCATTGCCACTGTGCAAACGCAAATTTATTGCTGATAAATTGTAGTCTTGTTTAGCGGCCTTTGAAAGCGAGAGCTAGCGGCCGGAGCTGGGTTGGCCGTTCTTATGGCGCATTATTACAGAATTGCCCAGTGTTTAGCCGCAATTTGCAGTTGCTTTAATTAGCAGATAGATCCACAGAGGCACTCGGGCCAGCTGCATCGTGTTGCCAATAGCAATCAAAGGCAATTGAATTCAATTGAATCGTGCGCACTAAAGCCAAAAGCTGTGTAAGAAGACTTTACTAGGCTAACATTACCAGAAATTTGTAGTTTTATATTTACTTTCCTAGACACGGAATCGGGAGGATATTTTGAAAAATGAATAGATGCTGAGTTACGAGAGATTTAAATGTATGAGAAATATTGATATTATAAAAAACAGCAACTCCATTATCGAGTTCCCAAAGAGTTTTTATGATCTGTGACGTCAATGGAAGACATCTGTGCGGTGGCCAACAAATTGTGTCAAATTAATTTACATAAAATGGACAAGACAAAGAAATAACAAATGAGAAAAAGGGAAATATAAAAAACAAATATTAAAAGTTCATTAGACGGCGTGTAAACAATTAATAAGCTCTCAAAACTTGATATAAAACGCAACAAATAACGTATGAAAAAAAAAATTAATCAATGAACGCGTTTCGGACATTAGGCCAAAACTGGGCGTAGTGCCACGCCCCCAAAGTAGGAGGCAAAACATTAATTTATCATTTTACGGAAGGCAAATCAAATGCGCAAAATCGAAACGCAGAGCCAAAACAGACGGCCCCACACTTGATGGGAACATTACACTGGGCATTCCTCCACTTTGGCCCCCTCTTGCCCTTCTGGCCAAGCCAAATAAACAAGAAGAACAAAGACCGCAGCTTGAAGAGCCCGACCCATCCACTAATTGAGTGCGCAAATAAATACTGGATGGAGGAAAGCAAAAGAAAAAAAAAGCATTCTTTGGGAGTGGGCACTTGTGGCTCTAGCACTTTGATTAATTTCTGGATGACATCCTCCAGCTACGTACTCGTATGTGCTCAACCAATTAACGGCATATTGAGTCTGGAGACGATCTTGACTTAAGAGTTCCAGTGATAGAAGGAGCGAGAGAGAGAGAGAGAGCAAAGCTCATTTGTTTGGAGTGCTCGCAAGAGTTTGACCACAGGAAGCTGCCATTAAAATATTTGCAACAAAGTGGGGAGATGAGTGCAGGGGTGCAGGGGGTGCATTGGGAAGACAGACGTACATACATAACTCGGAAACTCGTTCTAGACCAAAAATAGCTGCACCAGCCGCCAGCCGCCGCATTCCTTGGCCCAGCGTGCAACGTGAATTTATGAATCGTTCGGGCTGAATGAATCTCTTGGCTGGGTGTCTGCCTCGGCCTTTGCCTCTGCAGCTTGGACTTGGGACTCGGCCTCTCTCTCTGTCTCTGACTCTGGCCAGGGGACGATCTTGGTTGGCTTTTCGGGGCGTTTACAACGCTTTGGTATCTTGTATTTATTTAATTGACGTTTGAACGTGTTGGTATTATAAAATAGCCAGAACCAGAGCCAAGATCAGAGCCAGGTCCAATGCATTTACCTTGCTCCAGGCAATTATGACTGCAACTGGGCGTTGCTGGACATGCACGTGGGGGCAATAGATCGACATTGCCCATTGACGTGCTTTCTGTTTGGATTGCTGTACGTGCTGGCAGGCTAATTAGCCCTGGTATTGGGCGTTGTCAAAGGATTGCCTGGGTGTTAGTTAATTAAGCCTGCAGCCCGCGTTTAATAAGCAAAAATATGTGGAAGATGTGTTAAAGAAAAACCCAACGCATGCTCTATGTGGAGGTTCTTTAGAAGCCGAAGGCTGCAGCAGAAACTAACAGGTTCCAAGCGGAAAAATTCGAAGAAAATGACAACGTTTTTGCTATGCTAAGTATTTTTTGTGAAGAAAACCATGTACCCTGAAATTTATTCCTTTTACTTCTCAAACTTAAAGCAAGTAGGAGCACTCTAGTCGAGACTGGCCAACTGGCAGATACCCTGCATTCAGCTTACTCTCACAAATGCATCGTTATTATAGTATGTGTATGACATTGTAATGTAAGTATATTTCAGTTTTGGGCGAGAGTACAAACAAAATTAAATGAAATTAAAATAAATTTGCCAGCTCATCACGCTGAACATCGATCAATGAAAATAATATTTCTCTCACCATAAAAATGTCGCAGTACCAAAAAAAAAAAAAGCAGCCAATAAATAAACGAGTTTATGCCTCAATTGAAAAGCTATTAAGACGGGTCTAATTTGCAGGTTACCAGCGAGTACAACGACGCTACGAAGGTAAATCGAAAAAAAAAAACTGGATACAAATACCGGACGTGATTGGATGATAGACAAATATTTTATAGCACAATCAATGGGCTATTCAGAGTGGAATTCACACAACAGCTTCCAGCAGAGATCCAGCAGATGCACGGCAACAAAAAAATTAAGATGTAGCACAAAAGCCGAACCGGCTCGCTCAGACTTCGGAGCAGAGGCGAGGAGACCCTAGCCATAACAGAGTTTACTCTGATTCAGACTGGGGACAGGTTCGCTGATAAGATCAGATCGCCGCCGCACTAATAACAGCCAATGATGTGAGCCAAAGACGACGACGACGACGGCGATGCTTTGGGATATGACTTGGCAAATTTGAGTGTTATTAACAGAACATTCCCCGAGTGAGATCTTTAAGATCCGATTAAAACCATTAACACTTTTTGTAGCCGCTTGCTGGCAATAATTTTATACTCGACAATTATAAAATCAAATAAAAAGAAATTCTTTTTGTTATTCTAGTTGTTCTTGTTGTTATTGCAGTTGAAGCAGCTAACAAAATGTAAACATATTTATTTTTTTTGTTTTCTTTCCTCGAAACTGACTCACCAACAAAAATATATACCTACGTATAAAGTAACACAAACAAAGTTGAGCAAATTTATTGCCCATAGACAGGTAATTAATTCATTGCTGTTAGAATCGTTTAGACCCTTGCCCAATATAATAAACAAGGAAATATATTTCTCACTTTTGGCCACAGCTGTTGCCACAGAGAAAAGCATTCAGCCGAAATCGAAAATACGGATATGTGGTCGGGAAAGTACCCCAAAAACGTGACGTATTTGTATTGGAAAAGGCATTTCAATGAACATTTACACATTCGATTATTATACAACATATGTCAGCGCTTTATCTATCGAAGCTGTCATCACGCCTTGCTGATCTTTGCTCTTGGAAATGCCATTCGCGCATTCAACACATTTCTGTTCTATTATGTAAAATAATCATACTTTATATGCACATTCAGTGCTCTCTGGATAAGTTGTACAGAAGGCTAAGCTATTCAGGTAAATGAAGAAGGACATGGGTTCAAATCCCACGCTCCATAGATATCTTTTATACGCCTTAGCCGAAGGTTACACAAGCCAAAGCTATTTAAAGTTTATAAAATAACAAGAAGTAATATTTAATATCAATAACTAATAAGTAATGCTAATGATCTAGATACACATCGATTATATTTACAATATTGCTACTTCACATTCAACCAGCTGATCTTTACCAATTAGCGTTTGCTAGTTACTAAAGTGTGATTATAACACATAAGCGATAATTTATAACATTGTTGTGTTTTGCGAAAAGAAAATATTTATATCAAATGGGCAAAAAGAATGTGTATAGAACCATTTTCAAACAATTTTCCATACTTATGGATAGAAATATTTAAGACGAAGAGTTTACTTCCGTAAGAACTTCCCATCTTATGCCTTTTGAGCTGTAAGTTAATTAGCAATTAGTCAGTCAGCCAGTCAGGACGAGTTTATTTTCTATAGATATATCAAAAAATTATATATTCTTGTTCCTCTACAGTTAAGGCTGCGTTCAGGTCGGTGCGCGTTACGGTTTAGGTCGTCCCACTTAGGCATCTGTAGACCGTTCCTTATCCTGTCCAATCTAACACACATTAATCAAAATTCCGAGATATCGCACTCATTACCATTAAAAGCATTTTTCCACACTTAGACCAAATATTTTGTTTCCGCTGCGCCCAAAAAAATTAAAAAACAAAAAAAGGAAAATACGCACTGGGAAACAAATCCCGAGCCATTAAGAGGCGAACACTCAATGGAAGTTCGGACTATTAGTCCTAATCATGCAATATGCTGATGAAAACGTGGCAGCCCCAGGGCAGCTGGGCAAAGGTGTGTGCTAATCAGAACTCAGCGCTACGAAATCTGTAACAAAAAAAAAAAAAAATATGTACGAATAGAAAAAGGTAGTCGGGTTACCAGGAAGGGGCGTTACTAAATCTATACAAAGGCCAAAAAGGATAATGCGTAACACATCACGAGAGTATTGAGTGCACAAAACAAGCAAACAATTGTGTGAAGCGTGTGGCTGCTGCTGCTGTTATTAAGGTCTTTGGATCTATTCAATGGCGCAACTAATGTGCCCCGAAAAATGCAGCGCAACGAATCGGCTCAAGAGCTGCGCCCCATACGACATTTTTTCCGAGCTGATTGACAGGCAGTCGGACAGAAAGACAACTGAAAATGTGTCAATTTGCAGTAATCTAATCTGTGTGCGGTCTCTCCGGTACGCCTGACCATAAAAATCTTGAATGGAATCGAAGCTAAACAGGAACATATATGTAGGTATTGAAGTACCGAACACCAAATACACTAGCAGGGAAATTATGAATTCAACGCAATGAAATTTAATTTATGATATAATTATAAAATACGATCGCTCTGATGAGCCATTTGCCGACTCATATATTTCTGACTTGGTCAGTTGTCGGCAGGAATGTTACTTAATTGGTTACAAAACTAGAATGCCCAGTGCAGGGCATCATAGCGCCAAACAAGAACAACAAAAAAATCGATACGTGAAATTCCAGTGAATTACGAGCACAATTTTTTGATAATATGGCATTCCGAATTTAATCAATTATATATATTATATATTGTTATCAGCGCTAGTTGTGACGTTTTGTTTGCACAAATCGATCACAGAAAATAAAAAAAATATGGTGTGCCCCAAAAAATGGGAAAGTGGCACAGTGATTGAGGTTGGGGGTTATGCCAGAAATATCCCCAATTAGCTGCACATACATAAATCAACAAATATGTAGTTGTCAATTCTACGGAAGTTTAAACAAGTTGCTTTGATTTGGGTGAAAGATCAGTTGTCATTGATAGGCCAGTTGGTTTTCTTTTTTATTTTTGAAAGGAAATTCGAGCCGATAAGCGAATTGTCAACAGCTAGAAGAGAAGTTGAAGGCATTTAAAATGATTAGAAAGCAAATTAAAGGCATT